GGAACGTCTCGTCTGCTGGCCCACCCGGAAGTGCTCGGCGGCCAGCGTCCAGGTGGCAAGGAACGTCTCGCCCACAGCTACGCGCTGTTCGACTACATGATCAGGAGAGGCGAGACTTTCACCGACTACGTGTTGCGTCGCGAGCACCAGTTGGCTGAAGCAGAAGCCAGAGGACTTCCCCTCCCGGACGTTGTTCGCGCGCGCTTCCTCGAGGAGGGAGCGAACCTCTCCCCGCGTAATAAGATAAACGAGGACGCTGGCGGGCGGCGACAATTCAGCCGGCGCTATCCGCGCCGCGCTTCTGCAGCTAGACGCGACCGAGAAGCAGATCCTGCCGCCAGCTCCTCCCTCGATGGTGAAGGCCTACGTGGTCGACGACGCCGAGCCCCAGCAGCTTCCGGTCTACTGCGAGGACGACGAGGACGACGACGTCGAGATGCCGGAGGACGAGGCGATTTTTGCTGTCTGATCCGCCCTGAGCGTTTTCCAATCCAACCGTTTTTGGTCCTAAGAGTGTGCGCCCGCTGCAGCGCTGGCCGCACTTCAGGATCGGCGCTCTGCTCCCATCATCCAGATTTGCGCCCCCGCCCCAGCGCGGGCCACACTTGTGGACTCGATCCATTCCTCGCCGCTGCTTTCTCCTTCTTTTTCCATCCCCCGCCCCTCCTTGGTCCTCTTACCCTGCCACTGCTGCTTGCTCCTTCCTGCTCATCCTCCCGCTCATCCTCCCGCTCATCCGCCACCTCCTCCTCCTCCTCCTCCTCCTTTGTTCAAGGTAGTACGAGGCCCTCCATCATGGCTGCGCATCGTACGGCGGTCGCTCGAGGGACCACTGTCACCCAGGACGCCCCAGGGAGGGCAGGGAGGGGCAGGACGCCAGGCAGTGGTCCGAGCGCGTGCAGCCCGCTTCTCCCCACGCCGCCCTCCCTCCGTGCTCCTCCTCCGCCTCCCTCGTCGCCTCCTCCTCTCCCTCTCGTCTACCCCCCCCCCCCGTTTTCGGCCCCCCTCCCCTTCCGCCCTCCCCGCTCCCGCCCCCCCCCCCCTCTCTCTCTCCCCAATCGTCCCTTCCCTCCTGGGTCTTGCATTCTCTTGCCCTTGCCTGGAGTGCGCCGCGCACGTAGTTCATGCCACAGTATATTGTAGTATCGCATCTTGCCGAATCTTCTATTCCGTGTTATTTATTTGTTGTCACATGTTATGGTGTATGATATTTGTTCGTATCGTATTCTGTTTTGCCATCCTATCTTATCTCACACTGTCGTGTTTGATCGTGCTTCACGTAGTACGACCCTAGCCAATATTATGCTCTCGTGTCTTATATCGCCTGATCTCATCTGATCTTATCTTAACTTCTGGTATCCTGTCTGTCTTATCTGGCACGATCCACTAGTATTCACGCTTCGCGTATCCCCCCAGCACATTCAGACGCCCTGACTATGAGAGCTGATGGAACATGGAAAGAAGAGACACGTACAGTGAAACAGAGCGGGCAATGAGAGGAGTGGGAGGAGGGCGTTGAGCCATCTTGGATGCTATCTTGGAGCATCGGGGTATCTTGAGGACATCCTGGGGACATTTTGGAGGGCATCGATTAAATGAGGAGGGGTCCCCGAGGCCCCCCCCCTAGAAGCCATCAACACTCGCCTTTGGAACCATCTTTGGGCTCTTTTGGGGGGTCTTGGAGCTCTCTTGGGGCGGGGGGGGGCCCTCTTGGATCCCTCTTGGGGTTCTCTCGGGAGCCGTGGAGCGCCTCTTGGGGCCATCTTCGAGGCTATCGATCAAATGAGGGGGGTCCCGATCTTGCTCCCCCCCCACACCAGGGGCCCCCAACACAGCCTCTTGATGCGCTCTTGGGCCCCCCTTAGGGCGGTCTTGGGCACTCTTGGGGCCGTCTTGGCTGCCTCGTGAGCAACTCTTGGTGCTCGATCGGAACACCTTGGGGTCACCTTGAGGCCTCAAAAAGTTCATCGGAAGCGAAACGGTGATACTGAACACGCCATCCCGTTTTCTTCGGATTTTGAATGATTTTGGCTTCTCAGGGAGTCCTGCAGACGGTGAATCTCCGAGGGCACTTATAATCGTCTTGTGGCCCTCTTGGGGCCTCTTGGAGGCATGATGGAGGACCCTCTAACAACCTGCGGCCCGCTCTCAAGAACCCCTGGGAGGGGAGGGGTGGGGGGTACCCCTCCCCGAAGGGAAGAAGGGGTTCCTTTTGGACGAGGGGAGGCAGATACCGTTAGACCACCTACGCCCAGAGGGCTGGTGGGTATTTTTAATCGCACATCACCGCATCGTACCTTATCACATCTTACCCAACATTGCCATGCCACACCATGTCATATCTGATGTCACCCTATACTGCACTGTCTTTAAGTTATCGCCCCCCATCCCTTCCGCCGTCGCTGGTATCCCCAGGGGGCGCTCGCCGCGCGCAGTCCAGGGCGCAGTGGAGGGCCTCCCCGTCCCTGCCCCGCGCCAGGAGATCAGGGCCGCGCGGAAGGCTCTCCCCATTTCCACCGCCGCGCTTGCTGATCATTTTGCTAGTGATTCTGACGGTGACGACGACGATGCTGATGCTGGTGATGATGATGGTGATGATGATGCTGATGATGCTGATGATTATGATAGTGATGATGGTGGTGGTGATGATGATGCTGATACTGTTGATGATGCTGATTATGATGTTGATTTTGTGATTGACTATTAGCATAATGGCGATGGTGCTACTGATGATGATGATGATGGTGATGATGATGATGCTGATGATGATGATGATGATGATGCTGACGCTGATGCTACATAATGAAGGTGGTTATGCTGACGATGTTTTTGCTGTTGGGGATGACGGCGATGATGACGGTGGTGATGACGACACGTGAGGAAGAACACGATGATGATGATTCTGATGCTGGTGATCGTGAGGATGATGGTGCAGATGACGATGATGATGTCGATGCTGAGGATGATGATGCCCATGATGATGTTGATCATGACGATGGGGCGGTTGTTGAGGATGGCGACGATGATGGCGATGATGCTGATGGTGATGATAATGATGATGACGATGCTGCTGCTGCTGATGCTGATGCTGGTGCTGATGATGCTGATGACGACGACGCTGCTGCTGATGATGATGATGACGTTGCTAATGATGCTGATGACGTCGAGGGTGATGCTGCTTCTGCTGATGATCATGATGAGTTGGACGGTGACGCTGATGCTGATGATGATGCTGATGGTGCTGATGATGATACTGATGATTCTGAGGATGGTGCTGAGGTTGATGATGATCATGATGATGCTGATGATGCTGATGATGGTGCTGGTGACGACGCCGATGCTGATGCTGATGCTGATGATGACGATGACGATGATGATGGTGGTGATGACGATGACTATGACGATACTTATAAATAGGATGATGATGCTCATGATTATGATGATGATGATGATGATGCGTATGCTGATGATAATGATGATGATGGTGGTAATTCTGATGATGCGGATGATGCTGCTGCTGATGATGATGCCGATGCTGCTGTTGATGCTGATGCTGCTGATGATGAAACTGCAGATGATGAGGATGATGATGATGGTGATGCTGGTGATTCTGATGCCTTTGATGATGACGCCGAGGTTGATGCTGATGCTGATGCTGATGATGATGAGGATGATGATGCTGATGCTGCTGTCGATGACAATGATTACGGCGGTGATGATGCTGATGCTGATGCTGATGCTGATGCTGATGCTGATGCTGATGCTGATGCTGATGATGATGATGATGATGATGATGATGATGATGACGATGTCGATGACGATGACGGCGACGACGACGACGACGACGACGACGATGATGATGATGATGATGATGATGATGATGATGATGATGTTGCTGATGATGATGATGATGATGATGATGATGATGATGATGCTGATGCTGATGCTGATGCTGATGCTGACGCTGATGATGGTGTTGCTGATAGCGATGATGCTGATGCTGATGCTGATGATGCTGATGCTGATGCTGATGCTGATGATGCTGATGCTGATGCTGGTGGTGATGATGATGCTGATGCTGCTGATGATGAGGTTGATGGTGATGATGCTGATGCCGATGCTGCTGATGGTGCTGTTGATGATGATGATGCTGATGATGATGATGATGCTGATGATGATGATGACGATGATGCCGATGATGATGCTGATGCTGATGCTGATGCTGATGCTGCTGCTGATGATGATGATGATGCTGATGATGCTGATGGTGATGCTGATGCATCTGCTGCTGCTGCTGCTGCTGCTGATGATGATGATGATGATGATGATGATGATGATGATGATGACGCTGAGGTTGATGTTTATGCTGTTGCTGCTGATGATGCTGGTGCTGATGATGCTGATGCTGATGCTGATGCTGCTGCTGATGATGCTGATGATGATGATGCTGCTGCTGATGATGATGATGGTGATGATGCTGATGATGATGATGATGATGATGATGATGATGATGATGATGATGATGCTGATGATGCTGCTGCTGATGATGATGATGATGACGATGATGAGGACAAAGAGGAGGAGGAGGCGGAGGAGGAGGAGGATCAGGAGGAGGAGGAGGAGGAACACGAAGAGCAGGAGGAGAAGGAGGAGAAGGTCGAGGATAATGAAGAGGTTGAATAGGAGGAGGAGGACGAGGAGGCGGACGAGGAGGAGAAGGAGGAGAAGGAGACGGCGGAGGAAGAGGAGGATGAGGAGGAAGAGGATGAGGGGGGGGGATTGGCAGGAAGGGGAGGAAGAGGAGGAGGAGGAAGAAGAAGAAGGAGAAGAGGAGTAACAATAAGCATGTAAGAAGTACTAGTACTCACAATCTTGATACTGATAGTACTAAACGGGAGACTCCGAAACATAATGCCAATACACATATACTTTTTAGGCGAATAAGAACAATACCAATGCTACCATTACTAATGATAATAGCAATCGTACTACGATGGCTAAGAATACTAAGACTATCAAGGGACATACTTCTACTAGTCGCACGAAGAAGCAACACATGGTAATACAACCAAGAAGAATACGACTACGAGGAAGAGGAGGCGGAGGGGGCGGAAAGACACGGACAAGATGAATACGAATAATAGTATTACTAACACCAGTTGCCAAACCAAAGCTGATTAGATATTGATACGAATATCAGTGTACTTGTAATAATCATATGAATAAGACCGGACGACGAAGAACGTGGATCTAATGGTACGGCGGAGGCGAATAATAATATTGGGATAGATAATAACAATACTGTCAATGGTCGTAATGCTAATACGAGTACTAATACAGAGCAACTAGTATTATGCAGCGAACGAATACTACTAAGAGAAGTGATGATGCTATTGCAAGTCATAAGCGTAATAATCGCAAGCACATTGTTACGAATTATCAGGATAAGAAGATTACGACGAACGCTACTGCTACTACTACTACTACTACTGCTACTACTACTACTACACCTACTACTACACCTACTACTACACCTACTACTACACCTACTACCACTACTACTACTACTACTACTACTACTACTACTACTACTACTACTACTACTACTACTACTACTACTACTACTACTACTACTACTACGACTACTTAGAAGACGCATAATAATAAGACACATCGTATTATTAGTACTACTAAGAATACTAATACGAGGAGGAGGAGGAGAAGGAGGAGGAGGAAGAGGAGGAGGAGGTGGATGACATAACCGCTGCCTCTCGGGGGGCACCCTCCACGCCCAGCTCCGTCAGAAGGAGCGAGGGGATCCCAGATGGGCGGACGGCCATGCGAGGCGCCTGGCCGCCTCGCGGCATGGCGGCCGCGGAACTCGCGAAGTCGAGACAGGACACCAACATGAACACGGGGGGCTGCCCGAAAGCGTGACGGCCCAGCGATCTCCGCTCCCGCTAGCTCGCCATGCTGGGGCCTTCGGTGGCCCAGCGGGAGGCCCAGCGCAGGCGCCCCCTCGCCACCAACGCAGCGTTGCACCACCCGCCTGGGACTGGCGCCAACGCAGACCCTGACAAGCAACAAGAGCACTAGTACCTGCCTCCATCGACAGCGCCACCCCCGATATTGACGCCATCAGGCTCTTGATTGGCGACAGGGTCGCCATCGTGAGGAAGGAGATGGCGGAGGGCTTGTGCGCAGGTGGCCGCGTCCTTCAGGCCAGTGCCGCTCCACATACGTCATTGTTGTATCAATGGGTGCCAGACATCCTGGATGCGCCGACCTGCGACCCGACGGGCGGTGCCTCTGGCGTGGCTTATTCAAGAGACCACCTCGTTTAAGAGACCGTTTGGGCTGCCGTCTGCGGAGGCGCTGACCGCCAGGCCATACACGAACAACAGCGAGACCGCGAACCAACCAGGTCAGCGCAGGCCACACCAGCGCAGCAACCCCTGATGTCTGTTAAGTCGCCCTGTGTATGGAGGGGCGCACAGCTACCTGAGACAACAGTGCGTGATATAATGGCCTCGCCAGCCAGTCCTCCCTCCCCTTGAGGGGGGAGTCGGTAGTGGCCTGCTTCCAGCGGGCCATGGCAAGCGCGCCGCCCGCGCGACAACTTCGACAGCTTAGCAACCCCTGATGATCGTTTAGTCGTCCTGTGCAGAGGGGGGGGGGGCTTAGACATGCCTGAGACAGCACGCGCGCCACATGCAGCGCAGCAGCCCCTGACAGCTGGAAGGTCGCCCTGCGCAGGGGGGGCGCCGGGCCGCTTGTCGCGGGCACCCACGCCGCCCACAAAACCGCCGACCAAGGAGACATCCATGATTCTACCCAGGAGCGGAGTGCCGACAGGGAAGCTCGCGAGCGCGCGCTCAAGGAGGCGCGACAGCTCCTCGCCCATGGAGAGCCGACGCCGGCCGACGGGCGGAGGTTCGCGCCGGCCATCACTGGGCGGTCTCTGGGCGTCTGCCAAGCGACCCACCACGAGTCCCAGGCGGACGAGATGGACCAATTGGGGGAGGTGCCGACGGCAGCAGCACGCGCTGCGCCAGACGGTGGCTACAGCTAGGCCTCCCTGCGACACATGCCACGGCCTCATCTTGCAGGGCGGTCGAGCCCCCAGCTGCGAGGGCGGCTGGCAGCTGCGCTTGCGTGCCAAGGCAAGCAGCTCATCTCGTGCGCCGTACTCGACGCCTTGTGTTGCGCCACCTGACACGGCCAGTCGCGATCTTGTCACAGCTGGTGCGCCGCCACTTCTGTAAACAACGGCCGGAGGCTTGGGACAACGAGTGCCGCAGGTGGTGAGCCGCCGCTCATGTAAACAACGGCCAGAGGCTTGGGATAATGAGTGCCACAGGTGGTGAGCCGCCACTACTAATGAAAAAAACGATTGGAGGCTTGAGCCAGTGAGCGCAGTAGTTCTTTTCACCAGCCACGCAGCCCCACGGGGGGTCCTCTCCAGATCGTTCTACTTGTCCACCTTACCTGCCTGGCTAC